ATCTTTCATCACGCGTAATTTAAACGCGGATGAAAATGCGTACGTGCAAATTGCAGCATTTTTCTTAGCTAAGCTAATACCGTAATTTAGAATGTGCCGATAAAGCTAATAAAATGGTCATTGACATCGTTCAATCAGACTAACGATATACTCTTTCTTTTTCATATTCTATCTTTTTCTAGTGATACCGCTAATATCATTTTATCGTATCATTTTTTTAAATCATGATATTAACTTTTATTCTCGATCTACAATTGATTGTATCGAATAATTATTCTTCATTGTAACATGTATATCTTCCTTTATATCGACAAATAATTACTTTATGAGTAAAATATATGTGTTTACGCAAATTACGATATAACCCGTTGCGTAAATAATTGAAATTATATACACTTGTTCATGTAGTTACTGAAATATTTTCTTCACTTATTTTTAGGAAAATCAATTCTATAATTATCATTAATACTTAGACTTTTGAAGAATTGAAACGTTAAAATTATAAATAAAAGCATTGCACGTGCAATAAAAAATTCTTCTTGACTATAATTTAAAATTTTTTAACTTGAATTTAAATGAAACGCTGACGTAAATCTTCATATCACATGTAGAATGAGTTAAACAAAAAAAGTCATATATCTTCAAACTGCGATTAATCACTATACTGAAATTGATATCGTTATGTTTCTTATCTATTTCTGGGTAAACTAGTATTTTTCAACAGCTCGTTAGTAAAAAGATAATGGTAATTATAATATTATATACACTACGAGTTGTCGCAATTTAAACTTCATTGAAAAGTATGTAAATGAGTACGATTCGACTGTTAGACTATCTTGTACGTTTATACATTTGACCTTTGCTATGATAGAGACAATTTATATTTCCTCAGCATGAAACAGTATCATCATTTTATCACGGATAGTTAAATAATCATTAGGCAATTGAACTTGCAAGTCCACGTAGAATGAATACACATTATTTTTCAATGATGTAACGTATTGAATAATAAGCTTTGTTTGCAACACACGTATCGTAGACACGTATGTATCTATTTTAAAACCATGATTAATTTCATGCCTATATATTTATAATAATTATATTTTATTTTGCGTGTGTATATAACGTTTTCAGATTTTCAACTTGTAACTGTCTAATAGCTTCATATTAATATTCATATATAACTTGTTAAATAGTATTTATTAAAAACGATGTACTCCATGATATTTTAAATTTTGCGAAATTATAAATATATAAATGTTGCAATATTACCTAATCGTGTAAAATATAATTAATTGCAGTTATATCAATTCAGAGTTGGTGTAATTATGAGTTAAAAATTATTGATTGAATAATTAAAGATCCACACATATCAATTTGTATTAAAACTTACAATTGTAAAACGCTATATCGGAATTAAGTTGTATCGAAAGTGCTTGATAGGTGCAGCTGCACATCGCAATTTCTAATTTGCGCAAACATGCCTGGGAAATTTCTGTCATTTTCCTATTCCGCTCGCGCGTATGACCGCGCGTGCAATATCGCACGCAATTAGAATTTTGGACAGCTACGCCGGCCGATGTGTTTCGCGCGACGCGCGTGATCGCTGAATAATGTAATTGAAAACTCAAAACTACCGACGAGCGGTCCATTTCGTTTAATCGGTTCATATAAATAAATCGCACGGACTGCGAATGTAGCGCGCCGATACTTTAGAATTGCACGCGAGTATATAATTTTAGTCATAGCCATTAACGATTTAATCGAATAGTGATACTTATCGGCTTTGCCCGAGAATTAATTAAACCGTTAAAAATGCATCGTCATCGATCGACTTACGAAATGCGTTCAGGAATTTCGCCCAATCGCCTGATTTGTCATAGATATTTGACAAATTAATATTTATTTTGCAATAATTACTCACAATAAAGCCCCTTACGGAATTTGAGATCAATATATATCATCATTATCATCAATGTAATTTAGAATGTACTAATTATCTTTCTTGCGACTGATAAAAAAGCAAACAGTATTTAAAGTTCAATTTGTATTACGTATTTTTCTCGATGAAAGATCTTTGATTCTTCGAAGAAATAAATAACTCCTCATTTGCAATTCGATCAACTTATTCAGTATTAATATCAATAAGACATTAATCATCAAGATATTTTATAATGAATCTGATGTACAATCATTTTATTACCATTGTAAAGTTCATAAATATCTACTTAAAAAAAGCTATTATAGAATATACTTATATAACAAATTTTTATAACAAATAAACTAAAACTTATTTTTTTCTAAGAATTTCTAATAAATAAAACGCGATCAATACAATTCAAACAGATGTCTGTGCAATATAATAATTGTCATTGTATATTTAAGATATAATATTACCACAATATAAATTGGGCATTTTTGTTAGATGTAATTCACAATCGTATTAAAACTAATTTTAATTTGTATTGAGCCATATATTAACTAAATTGTTGTTTGTAAAAAAAACAACACACTAAAATATCATATACTAAAATTTAACATAAAAATATTTTTAATATTCTTTTAATTCATTATATGCTGTCGTGGTCTTCGAATATATCTGTTTCGGATATCACCGTTTTGGATGATATCCACACTAAAAAAATATTTTTAAATATTTTACATACAAAAAAATATTATCTACATGTCAATATCATTATATTGTATGTTAAAAAAATTTTTTCCTCTTTTAATTTAAAAAAAAAATGTAATTTCCTACATTTGTCATTTTCATATGGTTTCATTATTATGCAATATTAAATTAATTAAATTTAGAAAGTAAGTAAAAATCAATTTAATTAAGAGTATGTATGAGATATAAAGTATTATTTAATAATCAATAACTGTTACTGAGTTTTACTATCTAAAATGTTTTACAAAAATTTTTGGGATTAGATACGAGTACTTTATTTTATCTTAATGGGAAATTAGACAACAACTTGCTCATAAACACGCGCATATGGATAAGTTAAAATCAATTTTGTAAACATGCCAAATAAGAATACACAATTTTCAGAGTTTCATATAGATATAAGATAAATGTGTTGAAAATAAATATCAATTTTATTATATCATTATCATATTTTCTATCAATCTAATGCCATGTTAAAATCTCAAATATAATATAAAGTAAATGTCTGCACATTTACTATATCATGATAAAATTTCTTTATCATTCCAATGCGACAATCGATTACATAACCAAATTGAATAAAATGATACAACGAAAATATCACAGGCAATGATGACTTGCATGGATGTCGTAACGTTTACTGTGCAATTTTGATCGCGCACTAATTAACTTCCTGAACAGAGAAACGACACGTGCGAATTGTTGACGGACAAAATATCATCGGTTATATAAAGATTCTACAAGATTGTTTGAAGCACATAAAATGCGAACCGCTTATTCATCATTTGCGTGCAAGTAGCTAGTTAACCTTATATGCATATATATCACAGTCCTATTTTTTTATTACTTTTATATTTTATATTACTAATTACGCATAAATTTCTATTTATATATATAATTTTAAGTTAAAAACGTTTTAACAAACATCTTTTAAACATGAATGATTTAATTATATGAAAAAATACTTTGAAATATCATTATCTAATATTATTGTTGTCGTTTGATTAATAATTAATGATAAAAATCATTCCAAACATGTTTTAGATTATGTAATAACTTACGTAATATTAACTTCTATATAATTTACTTTCATAAGATTTCGTTTGCTTTCGTTATATTACATTCTAAATACGAATTATTTCCTAATAGCATGCATGCTTCATACACTTAAAATCACGTACCAGAAATTCTCACGATCAACATGTAATTTATAACGGTGTCACAAATTTTTTAAATTAATTCCAATTTTAATTTGCTTTTGCATAAACTATTACAAAATTATAAATATCAAAATTTGTTCAAAATTTTAATAATTATTAAATCTGAAATGGTAGTGAAATAAATTAGAAAAAAATGTTAAAAGGACGCACATATGCATCACAAAAATATGGAAACATCCGTAAACGACGGTACGTGCAATTCAAGAGCTTACTGCAACAGTGAGCTATTCTACATTATGCAAAAAACAGAAAAAATAAATTCTAAAATTAATGGAAAAAATACATCCATTTCTATATCATATTCGACTACGTTGTAAAATAATCCATTGTTGCAAGCCCATAAGATAATTACATAAGAGTGTGTTCGATTATCTTCATATAGTCGTCACACATGGGTAAAAATATACAATATTTTTATTATTTGAGTGATTAGTAGATTACTTCATACTTTTCGCTAAGGCTTAGTAAAATCGAAAAAGATTTGAACATAAATTCACAATTTTGCAATAAATCAAATGCACATGCATGTAAACATGTAACAAGCAATTATTAAATGCATGAAGCACTTGCCGTTTCAATTATCAATACATATTTCACCTCATTTCGTTAACAAAAGAACAATATCTATGTATATAACCGAAATGCATATATTGATGCAGAGTAAAGTCGACGAAGATTTTTTGCCCTTAAATATCACATATGAATTTCATATCCCGAGATAACGCTTATGATAAACGACCTTCGTGAATAATTCCACTATATTCTCGCCGTTTGGAAAAATTATTCAAGTTTAGGATGGCGGCATTATGGACGACGGCGAATAATGCATGAATTAATTTTGAAAATCGTGCATCCTGAAAATCTGATGAATTCCATGCAGCATTCTTCCGGGGAATCTTTCTTACTCAATATATTACATATTCACTGCACACTTGCGTTAACGTTAACGTGTTAACGTCTGTCAATCCTCTTAATAAAACAAGCCCCTCTCCTGTTTCAATATCGAGATGATAAATGCATCCGTATTCAGCTGCTTGGTCGCATTCACAGTTTATAATCGCACGCTTGCTATCGTCTTATCGTCGCTCAGTTATCTCAATTAGGTTAGTGTCTATTGTTTTATTGAAGGACAAATCAGCATGAGTTTAATGTTGATCGAGTCTTGGTTACCAAGGCTCAGAATGAATCAGGAAGTCTGGTGGTATAAATATAGTGACCAAGCAGATCATTAGATGTCGTGTTCGTGATGGTCGTCATTTGCAGTGCCAAATGAAACCATACCTAGACCCGTAATTTCATCCGATTGTATAAAAGAAGGCACTGATGTAGATATAAAACCTGTCTTCTTCTATTTCGCGTATATCACTTCGCGGCAAGCTTTACGACGCAGTGAAGTGAGCATTTAAGTGAAATAAACGAATAAAATTGAAGACGAGCAATATACAGGTCAGTGTGTCGATTGTTATCAACGCTCGGTTCTCATAACAATTATATTTGATTGGAGTTTATTGATGAAAATTTTAAATAAAATGTCCTGACAAACGTTGTAACATTACAATAAACTTTTGAATACATATTAGGTATGCTTATATGAGATCTTGTTATTGATGTAATGATATGTGTGTAAAACATATAAAAAAAAGTCTTAATGAATTCTATGTGATACATAAAATTTCATATGTAATTATAAAAATAAACGTATTTTTTTACAAAAATGATACATCAGAGAAACATTTTAAGTTTATTCCGTATAATCTATAGGTATCAAAGAGAGAGAGAGAGAGAGAGAGAGAGAGAGAGAGAGAGAGAGAGTGCGTGTCGCATAGAGAGAAGAATTTAAATTGCAAACATTGCATAATGCGGAAACATTACAAACGACTAAGTTCTTAGGAGACGTTTGCTTATTTTATAAATAATTTTAAAGCCGTACGAATAATTTTTGTATTTTTAAATAATTATTTAAAATATTATAATGTAGAATATCTATATAAAGTCCTGGTATAAATAATTACTTTTCCTTTTCCCTTAAATTAGAAAAAATAGGCCAGAAAAGATATAGCAAAGTTTGTTGTAAAATTTTTGCATATCTCTTTTCGATGATGTACACTTAGAGATTATTATATTACATTCAATTTTTTTTAACGGGATGATTCACTCTCTTAACATGCGGAAGAGCATTTAAAAAGATACTCTTTCAATCTATATTGTAACATATTCAAAGCTCATTTAATTCAGAAGAAAGGAGAGAAGCATTTGGATCCATTTCTTGTAAAATAAGATAAGAAGATTTAATCTAATCAGATTCATTTGAGTATCATATGTATACTTTATAGCCGATATTCATAGTTAGTCCGTATATTTAAAATCGTCTTAAGCTCATCTTTAGATGCTATAAGCCAATCACAGAGATGTAATAGCCATCTTAAAACAGTCTTGAAATAAGACTATAAATATCGGCCTTATATCATAAATCAATCACATATTAACTATCTTAAGACATTACTTAAGACGATCTTGAAATAAGACTATGAATATTGGCCTGTAAGTTTAAAGTTTTGTACAGTATATTTTCATGGCCCTACGATTTCAGATTTTCATTGCCGAACAACGAAAATGCGATTAAACAATTACACGTTGTTTTAATAAAAATATGTAAAAAAAATTGACGTATATTTTAAAATAAAACAGAAAAAATAATGACAATAGGTTGAATAATCAAGAAGATTTACATAGCAATACTCAAAAGAAGTACGCTTTTATTAAAATTTATATAATTTATAACGTGACGTGTGTGGCAGTTACTTAAAATTAAAAACGTACAAAAGAAAATTTTAGCATTTAAAATATAAATAAAAAAAAACAGATATCATAAAGTACAAAAAACATGCAACAAGTATGATTAAATAATATTAATTTGACCTCAATGAAGAAGAGATGTTCATCTTTTTTAATATCACAGTGACTTTACTGCAAGTACATAATCGTATGCTGCGTTTTATCTAAGCATAACATATATGTACGTATTGACTTAAGCAATTATTACATCTAAGTGAATAGCAAACTGACTTTAATTGCATTTCATTTTGTTGTTTTCATTTTTGTAACAGATATTAAGCATAGTAGAGTGGTATATAACAGAGACATAAAATGTAGAAATAGTAGAATTATTTAAAAAAATGTCAAATATACCAATATATAATATTTATTGAATACAAAATTTGTATATAACGTATCTAATTTTATTATCATTTTATCGGTGAGCATTGTCTACATATCTACCAATGAATAGGAATGTATGTCTTAGTTTAATTAAATAGAGAGTTAGATTTATTATATTTGAAAAATTGCTTTTAAGTAAATAATATTGTGCAAGCCTCGTCCATGTACCTGTAGTAGGAATGTATGAATAGACTAAGTTTGAATAGATAGAAAGTTAGATTTATTATATTTGAAAAATTGTCTTTAAGATAATATTATACGAACGTCGCCCATGTACCTGTGACAGGAATACATACCTAAGTTTGACTAAAGAATTATATTTATTATATTTGAAAGTTTTTCTTTCAATAAGTGATATTGTCCTGAGGATTTCTTTTCTTTAATGCGTCATTACTAGCCCTATTATATTTGAAAAGTTGCCTTTAAGTAAATAATATTGTGCGAACCTCGTCCATGTACCTGTAGTAGGAATGTATGAATAGACTAAGTTTGAATAGATAGAAAGTTAGATTTATTATATTTGAAAAATTGTCTTTATGGAAGCAGTAAGTCGTAAGCCGTAAGAAATTTACCAATCGCAGTCGATTATTCTTCTCATATTCGACTGTGATTGGTGAATTTCTTACGGTTTACGATTTACTACTCTTATGGACCTTTAAAGTCCATCTACAATGGGAGCAGTAAGTCGTAAGCCGTAAGAAATTTACCAATCGCAGTCGATTATTCTTCTCATATTCGACTGTGATTGGTGAATTTCTTACGGC